AACAATGTGGGATAGAAAAGATGACACAAATTATATCAATAACACAAAATATTCAAAAGATGTAACTAATTTTAAATAGTCAAAAAAAAATACTCAAAATAAATAAATATCCGTAAAAAATCTAACGTTAGTACTTTTCGGGTGTTGTCGACACCCCACGCTCGTGCTTACGATCAAAGCCATGATACATTTATATCATGTTTTCTTTTTATCATTGATCAGAGCAGTATTGTCGAAAATGCTAAATCGGAAGAAAGTGGCGTTTGAAATCGGTAGATTGCTGCGCAAAATCGGTATAATTTATATACTTAATTCCACTGTTGCCGTGTTTTGTATTTAATAAATAAATTATAAATCGGTAAATCAAACATTTTATTTAAGAAAATAAAAACAATAATAAAAAAGTCTAAATGTATCTGCAGTTTTATTGATGATTGTTTCCGTGGAAATCACATTTCTTTGTGCTATTTTTATTTGATTTATTGCTGAGAATGTGCGCTCAACGTTGGCGGAAGAATGGGAAAATGGCAAAATATTAGAAACTAATTCTGATATTAAATTTTCTAACAGGCTGAGTTTTTCCCACGTCGTTGGGAAAATTTTTATCTGCTTAGTATAACGTACAATTTTCCACTCTGCATCATCGTTTTGAAAATCATTGCTTTGAATTAAATCCTGCAAACAGCAATTATAGATGCCACTTTAACATTGTGTGCTTCAATATATTTAGATCTTTAAGGGGTCTATTCTATAACTTTTCCTTTAAATTTTAACGGCAGTTAAAATCATTTTGCTATTCACCAAACTAGTTTTCGTTTATTTTTTTAAAGAAATCCTTTAAAGTGGCCAGTTTAAACAATTATTTTAAAGGGTTGATAAAATGTTACTTTATTTTTAATAGGAAATAAAAATGGCGATGTTGTTGGTAAAGGTATAATATACTTTTATTTTTAAGATTTTGTAATTTTAGAGCTAAATTCAAGTTGTATCAAAGATTAATTAAGGATATGAGTGATCCATTTCAATTACCCCCCAGGATATTATGAAGTATGATTATGATTGGTCAATGCCTGTGCTCTGTTTTTCACTGTTCTTTTTCTTTATGGCTGTTTACTTTTTGTTTTTATTTTTTGTTGTGGTATGTTCTTATTTTGAATCTCAGTCAACACTCGTTGTGGTGGAACATTTTCTACTTCCTCTGTATATACAAGAAGGTTACTCTCAGTGTTTGTACTGATATTTTTCTACAAAGAATAATATTACATAAACACAGTACAGAAAATGCAAAAAAGCTACAGTAGGTTATTTATGATTTTCAAACTAAAAGAAAATTTGAATAATGACAAGATAGTGACTCTATATGTAATAAGTCATCTTCAACAACAACTTTTCTTATTGTAGTCGATCCTCCGGCTTCTACTAGGTCTGCTCCTTCCACTGTCAAAGTAGACATAGGAGCGAGAAGTCTCTTTTCCTGTTCTGTAAGAGGCTTAACGGCACCACATTCTCCAGTTCCAGTTTGCCCAAATCTAATGCCATTGGCTCGCCGTCTTTTTATTTCACTAATGCTCTAAAAATGTTAATTGTATAAGTTCTAACTTTTACGTCATAATGTTATTGCGAGGTTTTCTTTTACCTGATAAATTTTTTTTTTTAGTTTTCGTTAAATTCCTACAGGAAATTTTTTGGATTAAGAACAATATAGACAGTAGGGTGGCCCATCTTATGCAACCTTTGAAAAATTGTGCTGCCACCCCTCAAAAAAGTTAGATGAGAAAAAATCCCCACTAAATTTTTTTTGGATCGGTGTACAGGAAGTGGTGCCGCATGCAACTTTAATTCGGATAAAAATGAAAATTAATTAATAAGTACCTAATTTTGAAATATGCTTTATTTGTAAAGGCGAAATGTATTACAAAACAATTCTTTGTTGTCCTTAAAGCACATTTAGAACGAGAAATATATTTTGTTAAAAAAATAATAATTATGCTTATGGGAAATGGGTAAAAAACACTACTTTTTCAAATTTTGAGTGATTTATTTTTAAAAAAATATCTGAACAAAAATGTACATTAATTCATTTTGCAAAATATCTAATTTACAAGTTTACTTAAAACTAGTCTAAAACCTGCAACATTGTCTCTTTTTTAACATTAGAAAAGCGTTTTTTATAATCCTTTACAACTTGGAGTAAAAATTGCTTTTGCTTTTCGTCCTTTGTTAATATTTTGTTATACTCAATAATTAGCTTGATACCTCTCTCAGCTGTATCATATACTACTTTAAGATTGTTGATTGTTGATTATTTTACACTTGCTGTAACTTTCGTTTTTATTCCAAGTTGCTGGATCGCTTTCCAAAAATTCTGTGGGAAAATTTAATTAAAAAAAAAAAAATTGAGAACTAACGGATATAAAGTCGCAAATTTCTTTATTTTTTATTTGATCTAATTCCTCTGCTATTATCCGTTTGATTCCCTCTTCATGAGACGCTGGCCTATTTAAAGCCCTTACCATTTCCTTCTTAATATCAATCGAAATATTTTTATCGAAAAATGATAAGGAAACATTTTGAGGATTTAAATACCACAAATGGTTTTTCATTTTTCCACATGCAGCTTTAGATATACTGGCGTCTATGTTTTTATATTTTATTAATTCTTTACAAAACTGAGATCGTGATATGGGGCCTTTTTTGCCGAAGAAGCTGTAAACCAGGCTTTTATATAAATATTAACTAGAAACAGGCATATGTCATTAATAGCTGATTTTTCTTTTTGTGTAAGTTTAAATTGATCTTGTAAGAAAAATATTTTTAAGCAATAAATGGCTTTAGACATCCAGCGTGCGTGATGAAATGCTCCAGGACGATAAAATGTTATGTTTGACGGTTGTTCATCAAAAAACAATTTGGAAAGTAATAAAAATTCTTTATAATCATCTCGGGAGTGTTATCGACAATTTCAGATTTTCTAGGCTGCAAAATTTTCTTAATCATCTCGACTTGAAAACCAGTTTTAAAATTAGTTTGGTCTATTTTAGGCCAATATTCTTTAAAACGTTTAAATAAAGCAACATCAGGGCCAGATGAAGAGGGAATTTCATCAAATACACTTCGCAAAACTATTTCGAAAATATGATGTCGACAAGGAAAGAATAAAATGTCTCTTTCTAATTGTTGTTGCAGTATTGAAGCTGCAATATTTAAATACCCTAGATTAGAGGCCGTGGTGTCACCACATAAACTTATTTTCTCTTATTTTCTTTATTTTCTCTTATTTTCTAAATTCCAATCAATTAGAGTTTCATAAACTGCCAAGGATTGTCTTTACCGGTTGAATGCTGCAAAGGAGGCACTCCAAGCAACTGCTCCACTTCTCCACTAGTAACTAGTATAGCAAGTCTGTCTACATTCTCCATCCCCGTCAAAGAAGGAAGGAGTTTTCCATCCCAGTCAAAGAAGGAAGGAGTTTTCCATCCCAGTGGATTGATTATTGGTGCCAAAAGATTGGATTCTTTGAAAGTTGCTCTACTTATAGACAGAGACGAAATCATGCCCTAGTGCTTCTGCTACTGCGGTCAAAATACGAACTCCATATCTGTCGCTTATCCTACAGGCATCAAATGCAGCTATTATTTTTGCTGTTAAAATGTTTTTTGTTCCGTAAAATTTTCTTCTTTTTGGTTGTGATGGACCAGGCTCTTCTAGGGCTATCGGCACTTTCTCTTGGGATTCTAGGTTCCCTTTTATTTTACTCTCAATTTCAACAGGGGAACTGCTTCCCGAGGATGAAAGTGTCACGGTTTCCATTAGTTGAGACTTTTCTTGAAGGCTTCGTTAAGATCTCTCCGAGATTTTTTTATGTTTTTCTTCAGCTACTTTTTCTCGAGCAGCTAGCTTGTAGTCGATGCCATACATAAACTGTAATTCACTTTATAAAAGCAATACAAAAGTAAATGTAACAAAATTGGTAATGTCATAATAATGTTATTAGCCAAATTGTTTGTTAATATATAAATGTGTTTTAGGCAGAAAGACCTCGGTCATTAGCCTTTATAGATTCCCGTACGGGACAACAGGTTTTTGTATTGTTTATCTTCTACGGGAGGAAGGAAGGAAGGAAGGAAGGCAATCTATATATCAGGCTTTAGGCAAAATCATGGGCTTTAGGTACCTAAAATGGATATTGTTTTTTAATTATATAATATTACCCACTTACCCTGTTTATTTTTTAATCTGTTTTCTTTCAGTGGCAACAGGGTAGATTGGAAGGCCACCAAGACAAGAGTGTTCCCCAAATTCATGTTAAAAACTTCGGGCAGGCACCCAACCACGCGGCAGACGTGCCTGCCGCTGTATAAACCTAATTTTTTTTTAACCCAAGATTATCTGTAAATTTTATTTATATGTGCCGCCATCTGTTAGTATAGTAACAATAGACTTTCCTCATATTTTTTTAAATTGGAAGAAGGTGACTCTAATAACATTTAAAATCTGATAAAAAGTAAGGTTAACCATTTGGCAGTTTAAAACCTATTGCAGGAAGGGAAAATTATACACAAATTATTTTTTATTTAAACTTTCGATCAAAACTTTTGAAATTATCCATAGATTTATTTTGACAATACAATTCATAATATTATAACCAATAAAATGACAGTAATTATTAAATTATTTTTTAATTTTTTATTTAAACTTTCGATCAAAACTTTTGAAATTATCCATGTTTTTATTTTGACAATACAATTCATTAATATTAGAACCAATAAAATGCCATTTACCTAACATAAAGTCTCTTAATAATTCAATAGAATTTTTACCTACATTTTGAAAATTCCTTTAACAGGAATTTGTAAAACTCTTGCCAAACCTTCTACCCCAGTATAATAAATAATTTTTTCCCTCACTCAATTGCCGAAGCTTGTTTATTATCAAACGTTCATTTGAATTGCCATTTATCTTAAGTCGTTGTATGCCTCTGAATGATTAGGGCAGGCAGCTTATTCACTTAGTCGCAAGAAAGGGGCTATTTCAGGCAAGTTTTTTAACAAGAACTTGTGAAAAACTCTTGTCAAACCAGGTATTTTTGTTGTGACAACTGAAAAAAATAAAAACAAAATATTTAATAACATGTATTGTTACGAAATAAAATGGTATAAACTTACTTTGTTATCTATGCTTACGGCACACATGTCACATACTGCTGGATCAAGCTGTGTGTGGCATGTACAAGATAGAAAAATGGAAAATAATGAAGCTGTGATTTTGAAAACAAAAGGTGTAAAGCGGGTTGCGTTAAATATGGGGGAACAATTGTCAAATTGAATGTCTAGGGATTTACTTAACTGTTATGTTGGTTTAGGGTTATATTGGTGTTAAATAAAATAAAACTACTAATTATTTTGTTTTCAGAAAATGTTTTATTATTTGGTAGGTAAATATTAAATAAATATTCACCAATGTTGTTTTGTAACTGTATGTTTGTTTCAACAGCAGAATATATATAAATTTCTGCAATCTACTGCAGCCGGACTAAAAATAGTGACATACGCCACAGCCCTATTTGGGCTTTTTGTAAATGGGTTCCTATTAAACAAATGGTGTAACACCTGCCCCATATTTAAAAAAAGAACTTCAACTTTAGTGATGCCGCCGATACGAGAGATTCTCGCCTCTCGTCTCGTCTCGTCTAGTCTCGACGAGACGAGAGGGCGATTTTCTCTTGAAAAAAGGCTCGAGACGAGACGAGAGAATGCCCTCTCTCGCTCGAGAATTTCTCGTTTCTCTCGATCTCTCTCGTTCTCTCGATTATAAAGAACAATTTTTTTTTTACATAAAAATTATAATTTTGCACATAAATGACGATATTTATTTGGACCAATGAGAACATTATTCGCATTTCATAATAAACAAAATTTGTTCCTGGTTAACGTTTTATTACTTTATAACACAACTTAACGTTAACCAAGAAAAAATTACTTATAAAATAATAATAATTTTTAAAATTTACCCTGTATAAGCACATCTATGGCACTCCTTATACTATTAAAAAAAAAACCGTATGCTTAATAAGCATTGCTTATTCAATAAACTTATCAACAACATGTGGTTTTTGAGGGCCTGATTACAAATTTGGTATCCATTTTTTTTTAATAAAATGGCTGATCCAATATGACGAAAATTTGTCGTTCGGCTTTAATGGTTTTGGTAAAATTTAGTATTCAGATATTTATGGGATCCCTGATTCAGAATTTGATATCCATTAAAAAAAAACAAAATTGCGGATTCAAAATGACGGACATGCGCAGTAGATACAAGATGGTTGAATCTATGTGGAGTAGTTACATCATATATGCGCAGTAGTTTTCAGATGGATGGATCAAATGATTTGATCCATTGAAAACTTCTGCGCCGATACAGGCTGTTTCTTTTAACTTGAGACAGCTCAATATCTCGAGAAATACGCATTTCACGGAAAAATGTTTTAAATAAAAGGTTAATGTGGCCAAAGGGGACATTATTTGGTGCTACCGCTAGCCACCCCCTACCCCTCCTTAAGGGTGAAACGGAGGGTAACTTTGGAGAGTCAAATGGGATAACCCTTTTTTTACAGATTTTGGTAGTACATAAAAAAATTAATAACTTTTTTAAAACTTTTTTCAATTTATCAACAGATGGCGCTGTAATTCAAAATTGAAGAAAAATGGGTTTCCCTGTAAAATGTATTATTTGAAACGTTTGAAAAACAAAAATTAACATTAAATCAACAATAGTCGGCTCTAAAAACAATTTATAACAAATGTTCGAAATGTCGTCCTTCCATTTCGACACCAGCGTCCCTGGTCGGTAAACGTTGGGTGCGGTACCTTTGGCGAACGGCATTAAATGGTGAAAATTACCGGAATTTTCTAGAAAACGATCTGCCAGTCTTCTTTCTGTGGGGTTACTTGAAAGAAAAAGTTTACGCTGCAATTCCTACAACTCGGGAGGACATGGTGGAGCCAGAATTCATTACCCGCATTCAAAAATGTGTCGAAATGAAAGGATAACATTTTGAACATAAATTGTTTTCAGAGCTGACTATTGTTGATTTAATGTTAATTTTTGTTTTTCAAACGTTTCAAATAATACATTTTACAAGGAAACCCAATTTTCTTAAATTTTGAATTACAGCGCCATCTGTTGATAAATTGAAAAAAAAGTTTCCAATAAAAGTTATTCATTTTTTTATGTACTACCAAAATCTGTGAAAAAATCGGGTCATTCCATTTGACTTTCTAAAGTTACCCCCAGTTTCACCCTTAAGGAGGGGTAGGGGGTGGCTAGCGGTAGCACCAAATAATGTCCCCTTTGGTCACATTAACCTTTTATTTAAGACATTTTTCTGTGAAATGCGTATTTCACGAGATATTGAGCTGTCTCAAGTTAAAAGAAACACCTATTATAGGTGTATAATACTAGATGTAACTACTCCACATAGATCCAACCATTTGATTCAAATGCGCAACATTTTCGGCGTAAAAAGTCTTACTTTATTAGTGTGGTCTTGGCACACATTTTTTTTTATTTCCAGTTTAAATTTCTATATAAAAAAATATAAACGAATTTGTATTTCATTCCAAATAATTTTTGTATTCATACTTAGGTACTTTTACCACGAGAGAAACGAGACGAGACGAGAGAAAGGCACTCTCGAGCGAGAAAAGAGTATTCTCGACGAGACGAGAGACCCATTTTCTCTCGCTGCACGAGACGAGACGAGAGAAGGACTTTTCTCGTCTCGTCTCGTCTCGCGGCATCACTATTCAACTTCTTGAAATTTTTCCTGTCGAATTATTAAGTTTGACACATATTTTCTTTCGAAATACTCATATTTAGGAAAGGATCTATTGAATAACACAGGATTAACTCCCACCATTCCCTGTAATGTCTGGGACTCAAAAAATTCTGATTTCTTCACCACTGCCTCAATCTCGCATAAATGAATAAAAATGTGAAATTGTGACAAACACAAACTTTGAAGCTGTAAATCAATATTGATTAAATTAAATACATTAATAAAACTCACTGTCTTTGGTTTCAGCCCCCTTCTGTCCTTCCAGTCCCTGTATTGATATAGGATGATCAACATTAAAATCTCCAAGGGGCTGGCATTGATGAATGGTGTGAAGAATTTCACTTGCACCTGAGAAAAGTGAGTGTTTATACTTTTTCGGAATTCTTTTTCTATCCCAATATAGAAATTACAAATTTTTAAAGTGGTATTTTTATTTTTTAGTAGTTCTAAGATAACTTGAACAGCCCTGGGTCTCTTCAGAAATTGGGAATGTTTCTTTATCTCCTTGGAATAGGATTTCTTGCTCACTTCTAAATTTTTCAAAAGGGAGTTCCACTCCACTTTTGGAAGGAAAAGGAAGGATCGTTTCTTCTTCCTCAACTTGTCTGCCTGGTTAAAAAAACTCCTGTTGCCTTTCTGCAAGGCAATTGTTCTAACCATATGTTCAAGAACATTATGTGCCAAACAATTAAAGATCCCTTTCATCCACTCTTCGAGCACAGGTAAAGAACTTGTTCTTATTTTTAGAACAACTTCATAAGGCTTCATTAAGTAAAAGTCAATTATTTTTATACAATCTTGTTTAGCCTTTAGCTTTTCTGAAAAATGGTTACTACTGCTGTCTTCGCTGGTCACCTCGCTGTCACTGTCCCCTTGAAAATTAATAACTAAATCATCCACGACAACATCCAAAGCCGGTTTATTTTCCATAAAATATTTCTCAAATTTTATAGCGTGCTGACATCGCTTTTGTCATTCCTCCTCGGAAAATGTGGAAAAAAACTCCTCACAGAATTTATCAACTTGTGTAAAGTTATACTGTACATTTCTCTCAGCAACATATTTTTTAGGGCTGCCCAGACTAACTCGATAGGATTTAAGTATGGGTGATATGGAGGAAGCCTCAAAACGGTGAATCCTGCATCTCTCAAATGGAATATTTCGTTCTCTTAGCCATTTCTTAATGTCATCTTTTCTACTCGTTGAAGTGGGACATTTATCAGCCTGCGCCTGAACGTTGTGGTATGGTGCATTGTCTATAACCAGTACGCTATTTGCTGGTAAGTTGGGTTAGTTTTTCTTTTACCCATTTTGTATAATTATTGTAATCCATTTCTGAATGGTAATCACCCGACTTCGTTCCAGATTTGAATTTTAAAAGTGCATTTTTAATAAAACCCATTTCTCCACCTGCATGCACAATAATCATTCTTTGCCCCTTTGAAACTGGCTTATGTAATCCCTCGTTAGTGTTGTTACCCCAGCTTTTGTCCTGACTTTGGGTAGAATGAATGTATGTTTCATCCATATAAACTATTGGGCGTTTTTCTTCTCTAAATTTAATTATGCTTTTTCAAAATTTCTCATAAGGACCTGTATTTCAAAATTTTTCGATTATTCTCTGTTTTTCTCCATCGAAACCCCATTTTTTGTAATACTTTTCTTAACGATTCTTTCGATCCAGAATAACTGGTGTCTTGCTGAAATTTTCTCAGAATTCCCCGTAAGGTTGGAACTTTTTTTTCGGTAACGACAAAGTACACTTCTATCAAAATCATCCAATTCTGTTTTTGGTGCTGATATTGTCCTTTTTTCGTTGGGTGTCGAAAATGAAACGGAAACGCCTTCTTCAACTTCCTTCATTTCCTTGGAAATTCTTTTTATGCTACTTAGGCTTACACCAGTGGCTAATGCAGCACACTCTTGGACTTTTTTAAAATCACGGATAGGACCGTTTTGTGCAGCTTCTCGCTGCATAAACAGAATAACATATCACCTCTCTAGCTTGACCTGACAAAACTTTGCACTTTAATTTTGATTTAAAATCCATTGTAAATACTACTAGGTTCTTCACAAATAATTATCAATTTGCCATCATTTCTTAACATTTATATCAATAAAAACGTACCTAACCCTATTACAATTTTATTATAACGTATTTTTATTTGTTACCTCATTTAAACATACCTTAACTTTAAAACAGTTCTTGTTTACCTTGAATATAATTATATTTATTAATACCCCATCAATATTAAGGTAGAAAATTTTACCTATTTGATCTATTCCAATTGTATAAGTAAATTTAAAAAATTCAAAGTAAAGCGAAAATTTACTATTGTTTACTCTTAAATATCTTTAATAATGTTGTTACACGGTCCGTAGTTGTCATTAAAATCTTTATTAGTTACATCCATTAAACTTTAATATTTTTTTAGCTCTAACCACAGCATATGCTGTATTCTAACTATTTTATAACTTAATAATTTAAAATTTTACAAATACCACGTAAAACCGCTTTTTGGGGATTTTAGTCCTCTGTGGGGCCGATCTCGGCCGTATCATGGATCTCTTTTCTTCCGAATGCGTTCCAGGCTCATATCTGAAGTCTCTTGCTAGATTTGCCGAGTTGTACTTCTAAAAGGCCCAAGCAAATTTTTCACACCATGAAAAAACACATTGTTCTCCGTACATCTCGATCTCGACTTTTTAAATCTCGTCCAGCAAATAGGAGTGTTGTACAAGGCCCAAGCAGTTTTTTCACACCCCAAAAGCATTTTACCTTCCAAATAAACCGTTAAAAAGGCAGTAGTGCCAACATGAAAAAATATATTACACTAAATAGTTCCTTTTATGAGAAAATTGTTATAACATATTCCGATTTAGACAATAAATTATTAGAACTCCACGTAAAAAAAATTATTTTGAACGTTAATTATGCATATTATACCTTCCTTTATCTTCCCACAACTTATTATGTGTGCAATTTTAAGACAGGTAAGAGCTAGAAAAATGAAACTAGAAAAACGCATTTTTTTGGGAAGTTCCCTAAAAGTTACAATATTTACTTTTTGTCCACAAGATATTAGGTACTCTTAAAATTAAATTAAATTTTTCTATAATATTTTTATCAATTTTTGTAACCATTACTTGTGCTATATCCCGGTTTGACTTTATCCAATATTAATCCTGGGCGACTTTTAAATTCCTCTTGAATACGTTTTTAATTATTTTCAACTAAAGCTTTTTCTTCTAAGCTTCTTGCTTGCCACTTTTGGAATAGGAAGTTTGTACGCAACATGCAAAAGGCATTCAAACCATCTATTCATGAATGTAAATTACCTACAAGTTTTATAATTTGTCCCGTCCGCATGCTTGAAATGGCCCTTTAGTTGTATTTCCAACCCTATTCATGTAAATATAACTATATAGTGTGAGAATACATTTTATATGTGTATATATATATATCCAAATGTGCCACTTATAGAATCCCTTAAAATTTGCCATGTTTCAATAATTTTTTTTACATACAAAAGTTTTACTACGTTAGGTAAAAATGGCGCGAGCTTACCTTAAGGATTTTCTTATAAAATCTCGGGCGCTAGCTTCGTTATTTAAAGTGGAGAAGCACCACGTACCTGGGTCTGCTTTTAGACAGTGGAGAAAGGATGTTCCAGGGGTCAGTTAGATTATATTACGATTAAAATGCAATGGTTTAATTTAATACATATATTGAAATAATAATAAAAATCCAAACAATACAAAGCAAATAATAATTTAAACAATAAGGAAATGTGGCACACTCAGTATATGAAAAAGAATCTAAATTAACAAACTAAAGTAATATGAAAATGATATAATATTAAAATTACAACTAAATAGAATAATATTGACACCAAAAGTAAATGAATAAAAAACGGGAACAATGAATATAAAAACTGAAGGTTACACTTCTCGCAACTGTTAATACGGAAATTCAATTAAATAAACCAATGCTGTAAATAAAATGAAATTAAATATTACGGGAAGAAAATACTACGGGCCTTCGACGGGATTTTAGCATATCGTGCGGGAAAATACTTTATAACTGTTGGCGGGACGTCATTACTTACTATATTTCGGTTTCACGGGGTCGGGCTGTCGGGAACAAAAGAGCCGGAACACGGGAGACAAGAGAGTTTTAATTGCTCTGTTCGGCGTTTTATATCATCTCGGGTGCGCAATGGCGACATCAGAGAACCAAACGGCGCAGCTCCCCACTTGTTTGAATAGAGTGGAAGTGGAACCATGACGTCGCAAATCCACTTGTACGAAAATCTATATACAGGGTGTACAGACGTCGGTAAATATGGGAAAATTAAAGTAACTTCGTTACATTCCCCCCTTACTTCGATAAAAAAAAGAAATTTTATTTCTTTTTTTTCTTCTCATAACCCAATTTGAAATAACACTTTTTTTAACGAAAATAAAACTTTATTGATAACTAAAACTTAACCCAGAAAATAACAAAATTCTTCTCCTAAACGGAAACCCCAGGTTACTCCATTCTGGAGTCCAGCCGGATGCCACAGTTCCAGCAGAAGGTATACTCACTTCTGGTCGGACGGGTGGCTGTGGCACCGGAGGCGGGAGTGGACACCGCGGCGGCGGCGGCGGGGACGGCTTAGATGGCGGCGGTGACGGCGGGAACGACGGCGATGGCGGTGGTGACGGCGGGAACGGCTCCGATGGCGGCGGCGGTGTTGGTGGGGGCGGCGGTGCTTCTGGCACGGTTCCTAACCGAGCCGGCGGGAGGCGGCCGTTTTTTAGCGCAGCAGGCGGTCGAGCGGACTCCTACCAGTCCACAACCGCTGCAAAAGCGGATGGGGTAGTTCCCCACCGGACACGCAGTCCGGGAGTGTCCGGGATGCCCGCACCTCCAACATAACTTGGAGGCGAGGTTGATGGGCAGGTAGGTATTTGCACCCTCCGTCCTAATTTCCGCAGCATACCCCTCGAGCGTCACAAACAGGGAGACCCGATTATGCCGCCCCACCGTGGTTTCCTCCTGGTATGGGGTGGTGACTCGGGTGACGGGCCGGGGTCGGGATCCCGGAGCGGCGGCTGGGCCGACCGAAGGAACCGGAGCTACGGGGCGGGCGTCCTGGGAGGTATTCTCCATGTCGGGCCGGCGGGAGCTTTCGGAGCCCTGGGAACCCGCAGAAGACCGTCGACCTCGTACAGCCGAGGTACTCCTGGCTACCCTCGGAGTAACAGGACGCTCGGGGGTCAGGGGCAATGCCTCCATATCCCAGTCCTCGCTTTCGCGTGGCGGGGGAGTGCCAGGAAGCACTCCGATCGCGGCCTTCTCCAGATCCTGCAGCAGTTGGTCGGACATGATCACGTAGTGGGACTGTAACAACGGAAACGGTTAGGTCATGCCCTCAGCGGAACTCATGGAGTTACAAGATTTGTCTACCTTTTCAACGGAATTGGCTTGCGGGTTAAACGGCGGGGCAAAGCGGGAAGCATTTTCCCCGTGAACGGAGTCTCATTGCCGGAAATTACGATTATTATCAAGTTTATCGGGAAACACATATTCCTCCTTCCCGATTATTAAATCGGGTGGTAAAAAGGCATGTGCCCCAAGAACTCCAGACGCGGTGTGAGCTTAGATAAAATGACAGTGGCTAACTACCCGGTCACGGATACGTTTTCCTGTGGCCGCACTATGTAAACGGCATATCATTTTATTGCTGCCAGCCCAAAACCAAACATGGTTTATCTACCCGATCTCCCTGTAGGAGTAGGCTGCACCAGTGCCCGGTTTCTTCTCACCCCCTGCAGGGACACCTGCTGAGCCAGGTGAGATACACCTCCAGCAGGGACACATCTGCTAAGCCAGGTGAGATACAACGGATCTTGGGTCCCACATGCCGGTGTGCTCGGACCGATCTATGGAGTTTATGTTCCAAGGTTTCTATTCCTTAAGAACGGACAGTGATTGAAAGGGTCAGCTACAGGCTTTAGTGCCCTTCGGTAGCTGAGGTATAGCTTGAACGTAGCAAAACGGACGGACGGGCGGGCGGATTATAAATTGTCAACCACAAAACATTTTTTTATCTTCTGAATCCTAAAAAATAAGTATACTTACCCTAGTAATCGGATTTTTTTTATGACGACGTTAATTTAAGCTTCAAAATGCGCAACTTTGCCCCAATTTAAACGACGTCTTGCGAAAAATTTCCGTAACTTTTGTAATTTTAGCAAATTTTACTTAAAAAATCTATTAATTTTTTTTTCATGAAATAAAACAATAAATTTAATTAACCGTTTTTTTTCGTTTATTATAAAATACAAACATAAACTAGTATATTTTAAAAACACCTTTATGTTTACATATTACATATTATTTAGTGGTGGTAATGTATCTTTGAGCCAAATAAACGCATGCAATATAAAACGTACGAACGAGTGAGATAAACAACAATTTGTGCAAACGTGAGTGGCAGTAGAAATTTTTAAAACAATTAAATCAAAATGGTCCATTGCCCGCCAATGTTTTACTTTCCTTTCTTTAACTCTCTGCGTTATCCAATGCTGCCAATGACACGGCAATTGCCGTGTTTTCACGGCTTTTTATACTAAATGTATGGCCACTGCTTCATGGTACTGCTGTGCATTTAAAACACGGCTTTTTCGTTAAAATATTAAATTCATGTTTCACCATTTCTGTCTAAAAATATTTAAATTTTAAAATAAAAATGCTATTTAAAAATATCAAATTCATATTTCACCATTTCTGTTATATAATAATTAATTTTTAAATAAAAACACTATTTAGTTTTACTGAAGTTGATAATCTTCTCGAAGTGTACGACCAAGACCTTTTTTTTTTTTTGCTGGGAAATCCGTCATGGACACCTGATGCTGTTGTTCTATCGCATCAGGTAGTGTCGGACTCGTACCGACTAAAACCCCTCCAATTTTTTCCTCCCCGGAACCGCCTTTCGGCATTACTTCAGGGAAACTGGCTTAAAAGCCCTCATTTTCTCTTCTGCGTTCCTCCTCCACTTTGATCTTCATGATATTTCTCAACATATCCGATATGGTCATCCAATTTTCCTCATTGCTTAGCATGATCTCTGATATGTTGTCTTTATTAATTTGCATTTGACAGTTCATTTTGGCTGTCCTTCTAAGTCCGTCGAACCTGCAGCAAGCAGAACCTGTATGTTCAGGGTCGTCTATCTCATTACAGAACCAGCACTCGTCTGTTCTGAGCCTTTTGATATTTTTGAGGTATGTCGCGAACACTCCATGACCCGAGTAACAGGATAGTCCACATTTCCAAATTTCCTGGTTGTCCATGCTTTCACGTCCTTTATGAATACTTTCGCCCATCCTTCATATTGGGCCCAGGCTATTTGCCATTCTCTAAATAGGTTGTCTCTGTGTGTATCCATCATGTCTCTCCCGTCCCTGTCGATTCTTTGTTGTACTGCAAGCTTGATCGGGGGAAGGCCCGCGATAGCCAGTGCTGCAGCTGTTGATGTTGTCCGATATGCAGATATGATCCCTATGGCCAGTCTTCTGTTGATGTTTTCTAGGATTTTTTCATATTTTTTGTACTTTGGTGCCGTCCCTAATATGGGGGCAGCATAAAGAATCGCTGACATTACTGTACATTTTAGGAGTCTCCGCTTATTGGATTTGGGTCCTTTTATCCTGGGCATAATTTTGTTGAGCAATTTTATCATTTCGCTAGCCTTGCTTGCGATTTTTTTTATGTGTTCGACCATTCTTAGGTCTTTGTCCATGAATATTCCCAGGTAACGGACATAGGCGCTGCTCTTAATGACAATTTGCTCGACTATAATTTCCGCCTGTCTAACTTTTCTCCTTCCTTTTACTAGGAGCATTTCGGTTTTATGTGCTGCTACTTTTATTCCCATTTCATGAAGAGTGTATGACCATGTTTGTGGCGTGTTGGGTTTTTTCTTGTAGAGACTCTTGGTTTTTGGCTGTAACAATGATGGCTAAATCGTCGGCATATGCAATCAGCTTTACTCCGCGTTCCGTCCTGATCCGTAGCACCCTATCGTAAAATATATTCCACAATGTGGGTCCTAGGATTGATCCTTGGGGGACTCCGCAGATTACTGCATGTGTGTCTCCCTTCTGGGTGATTATCCACCTGTTTTTAAGGTATGACTTTATCATATTGATCAGATAAGCCTCCACTATCCCTGTTTCCATAGCCTCGATGATTCCGGGCCAGGGCGCCGAGTTGAAGGCATTTTCGATGTCTAGTAGCACCATGAGGCAGACTTCTTGGTTTTTAGCGCTTTGGCTTTTATTTCGTTCTTTGCCTTGATTACTTCTTCCAGGGCGTTTATGGTAGACTTACCCTTGGTGAAACCGTATTGGTTTTGCTGCACTAGGTTCTTGTTTTCGATTTCGGTTAGGATTCTATTTTTTATCATGTTTTCCAATAGTTTCCCTAAGCTATTTATTAGACATATGGGCCTGTACGCCACCTGGTCGTTTTCACTCTTTTTAGGCTTCTCCACTAGGACAAGCTTAGCTATCTTCCATATTTCTGGGAAGCTACCGTTTATCAAGCAATTGTTGAAGTTGTCTATTATTGTTTTGCTGTTGTTTTTAGCTACGATTGCCATTATTTCTGGTGTTATCTTGTCAGGCCCTGGAGCTTTTTTCATTTTGGTCTGATTTATTGCCTGTTCAAGTTCCTCCGGGCTGAATAGCGGAATGTTGTTCTTGTCCACTGTCTCTTTTCGCCAAATTTCTTTGGGCCGTTTTGGAAATAGCTTTTCGATTTGTTGGCGAGTGGTTTCTTCGCTTATGACGTTTCTCTGCCTTGTTTTTAATTTCCTTGTGACAATTTGATATGCCTTGCCCTATATATCATTATCCAGTTCATTGCATAGTGCCTGCCAGTTCTCCCTTTTGCTTTTGTTTATTTCATGTTTTAATTCCTTTTTTGCTGTTCTTAAAGCTGCCTCGCATTCTTCTATTGAGTGTTCTACCTGGGTTCTCCTTGATCTGGTGTATTTTCTTCTAGCCCTGTGACAAGCCTCTCTCTTTTGTGCAATATCTTGGTTCCACCAGTTTACTGGTGGTTTTGTTCTTCCGCCGAGGGTTTTTTTTAAGTGTTTATTGCACAGGTCCTTTATTTTCTCTGTGATCTCCTCGGGTTTAACATTAGTATTTCCTTTGAACAGGTCTTTGGATCCTTTTGCGAAGTTAGCCACTGATTGGGGAGTAGTTTTTCATCCTTCGCGACTATCTTGTCCTCCACTTTGAGGGTTTTCGTTGTGTGATATGTCGAATCTTATATTTTGGTGGTCGCTAAAGTTTTCGATTTCCTTCATTACTCTCCATTCGCTAATCATTCTACTTATACCCTCAGAGGCCATGGTGAAGTCGATGACCAACTCTCCATTTGCCCCCACGAAAGTCGGTGTGTTACCCTCGTTCAGCACTGTCATATTGCATGCCGCTATGAGATCCTCCAGTATATTACCTCTTTCGTTTTCCGTGTTGGGTCCTATTATATGCGACTTTGCATTTAGATCCCCTCCAACAATGATCTCTTTGCTCTTTCCACGTATCGAGGTTTCCAGATTGTTTGCCAGGTCCAAATAGTCTTGGATAACTCCGTTTGGGGAAAAATAGCATGAACACACAATACATTCTTCGAGTTCAACGCATACTAGACCTTTGTATATCACAATGCTTATCAAAGTTCGGTTGTTATTTATAAAAATAAAACAATCACAGTTTTTATCACAGAATTATTCAGGTGGTCTAATTCCACTCCTCCACCTCATTCAGCACCTCATCTAGGGAGCTGTCCTCGGGCCTCAGACCTCTTATCTTCTCCAGTGCTGCAGCAGAAGCCGTGAGCAGAGAAGGCAGAAAGCTTTTCTTGCCGGCTGTCAAGTAACCAAATTCATTGAATGCCGCCACTCTAGAGGCATCTGGCGTGGCTTGAGATCTGTACTCTGCCTTCAGGTAAGTTAGCATGTGCTCCAGTCTGGTGACATTCTTTTTTGAATGGATGACATTATCGGTGAGAAAATGGCAGAGAAGGATGAGAGGCATGATGTTGTTCACCCCATCTTCTGTGATCTTGGGGACCAAGGCAGTTATGGACGTGGTAAGTATTGCCTTGCTTGAGTTGTCAGTCAATCCCAGGTCTTTGAGGCTGTACAGCGTCTTGCCTATCCCTTGATTGTATGCCTGGCAGACAACAAGTGGGAAACAAGCGGCAACTCTTGGCAAGGTGATGATGTCAGGTCCCAACGATGTCCGAGATGCCCTGGTGTCTAGGCTGAGACTATACTTCTCGGCCAGAGAGGTGATCACTCTAGAAGCCAACTCAGTAGACTTGGCTTTGATTTTCTTGACATCACTACCCCTGGTTATGAAGATGGCAATCATGATACGAACATCAGCCATCAACGAGTCCCTGCTGGAGTAGATCTTATTCCCAGCTGCGTCTTGCACAGTGACGTCAGCACGGGTCAGACCTCTCCGATGCATCGAGATCATGGTCTTGATGATCCTGCGCACATCAAAGCCCTGGTATTCAAAGCTCTGCGCCAAGTAGGTGAACGTGTCTTTGTCAAACAACTTAGGCAACTCCCGTCCAGCATCCCCCTCTTCCCTCAGCCAGGTGGATATGGCCTCATCCTCAGCTAAATACGAAACAATACTCTCCCAAACTGCCATTGTGTGTCGTTATAACAACAATTCAGTTTGTAACAAAATGGAACAAATGGAACAAACTTCAAGCTCAAAGGTAGCACGCACGAGTATCAGAGTAGTAACAGCAAATAACTTATGTTTTTCTCCGTCTATGTGGGACTCGAATGTTAGGTTTTGTACTCTTTTTTTTATTAGGTTCTTGTCCTACGACAATGTCTATGTTTTCCTCACTCACACTTTTCATCAACAGGTCATGAGCGGCGTGGCACCTGTTAAGGTTCAGCTGTATTACCTTTACCTTAGCCATTAGGGGGCCGATTTTTCCTGCCTTTTTCTGCCCGAGGCTAGCGCTACTCTGAAGGCTCTGCACCTTCCCGAGCCGGCTCTGTGCCCTTCCTGGCTGCACAAGGGTCACTCCCCCTTGTTTTCGCAGTCCTTTGCCTTGTGGCTCTCCTTACCGCACCTAAAGCATTGCTTAGTTCGATCCTGTCCGCTGCATTCTTTGGTCCCGTGGTCGTAGGACCAGCATTTTTTGCATTTATCTACCTGTATGTCCAGGCTTACTGTGCAGCGAACCATTCCGACTCTTCTCACTGGCCAGTACCGCCGCCTCCTCTTTATCCAGGGTGATTGTGACCGCTTGCGTCCCTCCCGCATAAGGTCTCAGTCTACTCGTCTTGTAGATCTTGTTGGGATCTTTCATTTCTTCTTTAACCGCTTCCATAAGTTCCTCTTGTCTAGTGGTGGCTTCCATACCTCTCACGTAAATTGTGCCCTGTGCCTTTCGGTCGCTGCACGTCCTGACTTTAAAGCCCTGCTTTGAGCCCTCCATTGCTCTGTCTAAGCTCTTAAGGGCCTCCTCGTCCTTTTCTATTGTGATAAGAAGTTTTCCGTCCTTTGTCTTGCGCACGGCTCTAATATCCTGTCGATTTTTAATACCCTGTACATTTTCTTTAATATCTTTGAGCACCTCCTCAAAGACCTTTCCCTCCTTTTCCACCACTAGGGCATACGTGTTCCTGGTCCTGTTTTTCTTGTCCTTCCCGTCCTCCTCCGGTTTTTTCGTGGTGAAAATCATCACTTTGGTTTTTGCCCCCTGGTATATGACTTTAGTTAACTTTTTTAGTCTTTCCACGGTGAGTCCCTCTATGTGGTGTATCGCTATCCTATCATCGCTTTCTGTTTCTTGTCTTAGCTCTCTCAGGTTGTTCCAGAATTTTTCTCCAGAGTTTCCAATTGCCATCTTGATAATTTTTTGTGTCCCATTCCCCTCCTTTTTACTTTTTAATTTCGTTGTCTGTTCCAGTACCTCGAAATCTTCCGGGACCCTCGCCAGTTCTGGATACCTTTTCTTGTATATTTATTGTACGCTCCTGTTCATTTCTTTGTCCTTCTCCTCCACTAATACCACCTTGACTGTCTGTACGTCAGTTTCAATTGGGTTCCCTACTACTACCTCGCAGTGCTTAAACACCATTTCGTCCCAAGGTTTGTCAGCGATTTGGAGGAAGTCGCTATACTCCTTTGCTCCTTCTAGGGTCTCCACTATCTCTGCCCTCATCTCCTCGTCTATAGTCTGGATGTCCGTTTGTGTTGCTATGTCATTTGTACTGTTGCCTACGGTTTGTGAGTCCACATCGTATGTTGGCTTGGGTACCGGGATATATTTATGGCTGTCTAGCCACTCCTTGATAGTTATCCTTTCCAGGTTTGGTACCGCATGACCCACTTCTGGGGCGGTCAAGTATTATATTCCCCCTCGTGAAAAATTCAGTTTATTTCGCCAACTCCACGGCCTGGTTGGGGCCTGCACTACCACCACCGTTACCGACCGGAACTAGGGTATCCCTCCCTTGTTCGGTAAACACTTTACCCATTTCGGACTCCATGTTCGGTTTTTTAACATGGTTTCCTCCATCGCCTTTTATACCTATGGCCAGGTTACCAGTAGCTGCTACCAAGCTCCCGGGCTGGTTCGCCCCCGGGGCCGTACAGTCGCTGGTTGACGATCGAGCGGGGCCCGTGCTGCCACCACCACTCCCGACCGCTTCTGCGGTTCCGATCCCCTGTCCCGTACGCATTGATCCTTTTACGGACTTCATGCTTGTTTTTTTCTAATGGTGTCCTCCCATTGCCTTTTATACCTTCGGCCAGGTTTTTTGCTCAGCCGCCCCTCTGGGGATCAGACGCTGGCCGGGGAGCCGCACGCTGCGTGTCAGACGCTTCCGGGCTTTTGTGTGTGTTTTGGTCCGCTCCGACTATTTGATTTCGCCGGTACCACCCATATCTGGGAGGCATTCTCCTATCCGCCACCCGGAGAAGCGCCCGAAGGGGGACACACAAACCCCGCACGGGTACGACCAAGACCTGACTGAGCCTAAACTTTTTCTGCTTAGACAATTGGCAACTCTGGACGAAGCCACGGAGGTAATGCGTTTCAAGGGTGCGGTAGCTATATAAAATAATTTTGAAATATAAGTGACTTCTCGACCCAGGAGAGGCAACATTGGATTTTCAGGGTGGAAACATACTGGTATGGATAAAGAATTTATAAATTTATTTGGAAATAATTAAGAGATAGATTGGATGATTAAGGGTTGAATATACTTAGAAGATTCTGTGCATTAAGCCATTTGTGCAAAGTGAAGTGAAAAATGACATGGTTCTATAAAAATTTAATTAATCAGTAGATAAATGATTGATGTGATCTCAGATTCTCTTAAAATTTAATGTGCTGACCAAATAGCGTTTAATTACCCTAAAGGCCAATAAATCTAAAGAAGAAAGAAGTGCGTGAAATAATAAAGAAATTTCAAATTTGACACGGCCATAGTTCGTAAAAACACGGCAATTTTCGATCATGCGCGCGGCTTTTAATTTCGACTGGTTGGCAGCACTGGAATTATACCACCCACTCGACAGGTTCGTAGATTTGCTTTTATTTGGTGTCAGTTTCATTACGACTTCGCTATGGTGTAGTAGTCCGCTGTTATAAATCAATGTTAAGATTTTATTATGATTTTGTTTACAAAAACAAAATTACTTGTAAATAATTTTTAGGAAATGTGGAAAATAAACAATAATATTCTTGTCATAAAAAAACAAAAATTCTCAAAAAAAAATTATTCTAAAAAACGTAAAGAAAAATAATTTAAAGTAGGTGTTCAAATAGCTGCCCAAACGCTGCCGAATAAAACGTCGATCTGTAATAAAAATTTTGACAGACATTTATTTGCCAGCATATTAGGGTTTATATTTCTTAATGTATTAATAATCATTTCTCTTAATTCATCAAGATTATTGGCCCTAAGATCCATAGATTTTCGGCTTGGCATATCCCCACATAAAAAAAATCACACGAAGCCAAGTCCGGTGATCTTGCTGGCCATAGAATATTTCCGTGACCACATATCCGTTCTGCAAAAGTGGTTTGCAAATATTCTCTGACCAACAGAGTGTTATGTGCGGGACATCCATCCACCACACGTCCTTAAAAGTAACAGGCAGAGCACGAACTGCGGGAAAAATTTGATTTTGCAGCAGTTCAAGATACCTTTGACCATTTAACGTTTAACTAGTTTCAAGCATTTTTTCTTCTTTCTTTTTTTAATATTTAACTTTCGTAATTATTTCCTTTTTTCTTTTTGCTTCAATAATTTTTCTTTGCAGCTCTTTCTAGCCATTCCTCTGAAATTAAAACTGATGGCATGGGCTCTCTCTGTGTTTAACAACCCTAGTTCTTTTAGTCCCAGTATTCGGCATCAAAATATCACTTAATATTTTAATTGCTATCTTTTGAATATTTTCTTTATGGTCTATATTTAAGACTTATTTTTCTTTTTATTGGCTAGTTCTTTCACAAAACCTTTATTGACATTAATCTTGCAAATATCTGTACTTTTTTTTATTTGTTCTTTATCTATTATCATTTGGTTTTGATATGTTTCTTTAGTTTTCTTCTTAATTTTTGGTTTGTTACAATCCAGGTCCTAATTATTTTCGTTAATGGTATCAATTTTTGTATTTAGGCTGGTGGCGTCCTTTTCTCCTTCAATGCGTTTTTTTCATTGCTAATATCATTTTCCTGATTTATCAGTTCATTTAGTTAGAAGTTTAAAAAGTCGCTGTCGTATTTTCCATTTTCAATGCCAATTTTTATCCAAACATCATACAGCATTTGTGAATCTAAATCGAGTCGAGTACCAGTTCTGGAATATGTCAAAGGCATTCTGCCTTCCAAGTATTTAAGATAGTTAAGAATTTCTTGCCTTTGTGGTTCTTTTTTATCGTGAATGCTGAAAGGTGTTACCATGTGAATTTTACACGTTTACACTATAAAAAGGATATAGTCCGCACACTCGAAATCCGTTTATTATCGCTGATTTTAAAAATATATTTGCTGAAAAACTTTCTGTACACCCTAATATGGAATGAATACCTAAATTATCTCCTAAGATACTAACTAACGAAAAATATACTCTTTTTTGCCAGTTTTTGTATTTACTTCAATGCCATTTTCCTCAAGTTTTTTAAAATGACTTGTGTTTTTATTTCCGAAGAGAATTCTGGCATTGCTATAAAACAAGCAAGCCAAAAAATATATTCCAATCTAGTTGTTCGAGATTGAGTTACTGAAGTAGTATATATGCTTATTGAATAAATATATGTAATCTCTATGGAACCCTGTTCCTAGGGAACCATTATTATTATTATTATACATATAAAAAACATATACACGATTTTGGTTTATGTAACTTACGAGAAATAAAACTGTTATAAAAAGAACATAATACTATTTCCTAAAACTCCAAGACATTCATTTTGCTGCTCTAAAACATGGTCCTTCGAATCCTGTGGTTTGGAGTATATTAGGAAAATCTTTAAAGTGAAATTTATTTGGAATTTGTTCCTGACACAATACGGTTGCGCCGTAGATTTGGAGCATTTATCGTGCCAGATAAAATTTTGCTGAAATTTGGAATATGTTCCTGACACAATACGGTTGCGCCGTAGATTTGGATCAAGATTCTCTTATCGTGCTAGTGTTATAAATAATAATTTAATATTTTTTTAAATTGCTTCTGTCAGTGGTGACAATTGATACATAATATATTTTGGATATGAAAACCAAAACAATGGAGTATTCCGAGCATCTTATTAGAATTAAGAGTTATTTTTTGGAACTTCACAGCTGGAAACAACGTTTAAATGCCTGCGAAAATGTAAATAAAGAAATGTTACAATGGAATCTAGGAGAATTGGAGAACTTGAAAAAGAATATTCGAGAGGAGCATATGATTATCATCGCACTCAAACCAGGTCAAGGAACTGGAGATTTGGAACTCTACAATCCTGAAGAATATTATGCAGCTCTAGACACGTATGTTCTACTTATTAACTCAGTCTTTGAACTGCTAGCTAATATTGATTCAATTGATAAACAGGAGGGCTCAGTTAATGACAGGGTTAGGAAAAATATAAAGCTTCCTCAAATCATTCTTCCAAAATTTAACGGTAATCAAGACTCTTGGTTAAATTTTCGAAATTTATTTACTTCTTTGGTAATTGACAATAATCAACTTTCAGATGTTGAGCGATTACATTATTTACATGCTAGTTTAACCGATGAAGCTCTGATACTCTCTCAAACTGCAGTAAATACCGTTGATTTTCAACCAATTTGGGAAATTTTAAGGGATAGGTACGATAATACGATTCAATTAGTCCATTCGTTAATTTTGTCTATTATTGAATTTCCTGAAATTGTCAATGATTTTTGTAATAATTTAAAAAAGTTTCGTGATGTTATTTTGTCAGCTGTCAATGCTTTAAAAAACCTAAAAAGACCAGTTGAACATTGGGACGATTTATTGGTCTGCTTAATCAACCTAAAACTTGATAAAATTTCTAGAGAAAAGTGGGAATTAAAGGTTAGTGAACAAAATGAGTTACCTACATATGTTGAAATAATAAAGTTTATTGATACCAGAATTCGGTGTTTGGAAGTGTCTAAAAAATCAATTATAAAAACTGGTTATAAAAACACAAAACCAATCCATGTCCATCAAAATTTACAATCTTCCAAAATTATTTCAAACCAAAAGCCAACTATCACACTTTCTAATAAATCTTCATCTTGCGATTATTGTCAAGGAAATCATTTTATTTAATATTGTCAGGAGTTTAAAGCACTCTCGGTTTCTAAACGATTAACATTTGTCACCAAGTCAAAATACAATCTGTGTTTAAATTGTCTAGGTAAACATGAATTGTCTAAATGTAGATCTAAACATAATTGTTTTGTTTGTCATCAACGGCATAATTCATTGCTACATAAAGATTCTCTAGATAATCAAGTTAACACTAGTAAAATTTCAGAATTTCCAGAAAATCTTAATGTACATTTATCTTCAAACAAACGAAGTTCTTCCATTGTTTTGGCTACTGCTTATGTACTGGTTCAAGCTCCGTCAGGGCGGAAAACTTTGGCCAGAGCAATTCTTGATCAATGTTCTGAATGTAGCATTATTTCAGAACATTTAACACAAGTGTTAATGTTGCCAAAGAACCGAACTTCTGCTACAATAACTGGAGTAAATGGCACAACAACTGGAAATGTGCTGTCTTCTGTTAATTTTATGATTAATTCGGTTAATTCTAGTTCTAAACATATTAACGTTCATG